ATGTGTTTCTTGTGTGAATTGTGTGATGAACGTTTGGACAGAATTCTCTATTTCCTGTAATTTGCAATATATTTTTCAAATTTTTTCTCAAACTGCTTCTTGATTTTGTGTAAAACTATAATTTATACATTTATAACAGGTATTATCACCAAAATGAAGTCAAAATTAAAGAAATCTGAAAAGTTGTCATATGCACTTTAAGTTCCACTCTCCCACCTCTGCTCGTATGACAAACGTGCTCATGGAGACAGAGGAGACAAGGAAACGAGGAAAGGAAACGAGGAGAGGAAGGAAGGTGAAAGGAGACGAGGAAGTGGTGATAAATCCTAACAGGAAATGCATTGTGAAGGAAACGTGGAGTCAGGTTTGAGTCAGAAATATGACACAGCAGATCAGCGTGAGCTCTGACTCACCCACGGGTCATGGGACACGTTTCGAGACAAAACTGGACCTTTAAACTGCTCTTCTGCGTTTCCTCTCAACTTCCAGTCAATTTCCACAAAGAATATTTAAAGATCCCATATTACACTATTCTCTGATGTTTAATATAATGTTTCCTCATCACACACAGACCTGGAGTTGTGTTTTGTTTCACTCACATGTTTAACACACACACCTGCACATTTAGGCTGAATTTAGTTCTTCTCTCAAACAGAAAATACTCTGTTCCATCATGTAATGTCATGTGTTGATACAGGAAATGCTCCACTGTGTTTTTAAACTCCTTCACTAGAGTCATTTGGATGATTTCAGCTCTGTCTCTACTGAACTAAAGGTAAAAGTTGCTCTGTCAGCCTTAAAACTACCACTACATGACATCAGCAGGGTCCCACTCTATTTCACTGACACTATTTCAAAACTTTTCCATGACTTTTTCATGACATGAAGTGAATTTTTCACGATTTTACGGCACCTACATATGTAGAATTGATCAGACTGTTATCAGAAAAGTTAACTCTTTCCACTCATCTTATGGTTTGGGATTATAGTTTTTGAACCTGTCCTGTCAGTGCATTTATTGTTGTTTCTTTTAAACAAAAGGTGCAGATGTTCACAAATAATCAGCTTCATGAGAACTTAACAGAACACTGGAGTTGTGTGAAAGAGATACTGAATTTCCATGACTTTTCCAGGCCTGGAAAATTACATTTTCAATTATGATAACTTTTCCAGGATTTCCATGAGCGTGGGAACCCTGCATCACTAAAGAGTTACTCAAACATGTGTGAATGAGACAGAACACAACTCCAGTTTTTGATGAGAGAACAGTGTTTTAACATGGTTTAAAACTCAAAAGAGATAATTTTGTGTAATTATGGGACCTTGAAAACATACTGCTGCTCTCCTCAAGGCCAAGGTCAGGTTTATGGAGATGCAAGCTCACTCACAGTACAGACACATGTTTCATTTTTTCAGTGCAATTTCCAATTAACAACCAAAATGAAGACAAATGTTTTTATTCTTAGTCTAATCTCATGGCTAAAACATTACATAGTGTGGCTTTACAAAAAAACTAAAAAAGTACCTTCTGTCGAGCTCTGGTGTGGACGTGTTGCTGCTCAAACCCAGAGATTCCTGAAATAAAAAAAGAAACAAATGATTCAATTTTACATTTGATAATTCACCAAAACAAACTGAAAAATGCCTGGTATGTCTCTCTCTGTGTGTGTGTGTGTGTGTGTGTGTGTGTGTGTGAACTGTGTTTTTGTATCAGAGCTGAAGGGCGTTGGAGACACTCGAGTCACAGTCACTGACTTTAAACAGGTTTAAAAGTCCCACATGTGAAATCTGAAGATCTTTCACTCAAACTTTGACGTAGACGTGATGAGGAGTTTGTGAAGTGGCCAGTCATTTTGTAAAAAAAAACAAAAACAAAAGAACTTTCCGCACTTTAGTCTTGTTTAAGCTGTTGTAAAGTGAAATGTGACTTAGAGACAAACAGGTAGTGGTCCTTCACTCAAAGTTAAAGTTAAGTTAAGTACTACAAAAGTACATTTCTATGAGCTCATCTAAATATTCCCCTCACAAAATGACGGTGTGTGTTTGTGTGTTACCTGGATCTGAGAGCGCAGCTGCAGAGAGGTGGACAGAGACTCCACTTTACCCTAAAACAACAAAAAAAAAAAGACAATTACAGTAAGAGAACAGAAACTACAGGTCAGGACTGAAATGAATCCTCAAATACTGAGTGATATTAAAAGTGAAAATGAACAGGTATCAATAAACTGCCATTTCCTCATCACACACAGACCTGGAGTTGTGTTTTGTTTCATTCACATGTTTAACACACATTTGGATAATTTCAGATCTGGAATTGCTGATCTGTATGAACAACAGGCAAAAGGAAGTGTTCATTTGAAAACTACCACTACATGACATCACAAGGTGGAACAGACTATTTTGAGCTTTAGAGATGTAAACAGACTAATAATAAAGTGTACATAAGTAAGTACCTTATTTTCCGCACTATAGGGCGCACTTAAAAGCGTTTAATTTCATCAAAAATGACTGAGCACTTTATAATCCCGAGCGTCTTATATAAGAATTTATTGGAGTGTCTTCGTACGACTTTAGTAAAGTACAAAGCCGCTCCACTTGCAGCATTACGGCTCCCGTAGTCAGGAGCATCAGGAGTAATACAGACTGTGATTCCTTTTAAAATCAAAATGCACCTGTCAAGAGACACGCTCACAACACCCACTTTAAACTCAAGACTGTTCTAAAGTGAAAGTGCGAGCTGCGTGGGAGCAGTGGATGAGAGGAGGAGAACACACATTCACCAAGACAGAGAGACAGCGCCGAGCCACTTACACCACGATCTGCCAACGGATCATGGACGCCCGGGCTAAAGATCAGGATCAACTGTGGTCCGAGCTTTCACCAAGACCAGAATCATCACTGAACTGAACTCCAGGGAACAGTAACCACACTGACTCGGATAATGACGAGAGGGATGTGGACGTGTGGACGCCGGAATCACCCAACTGTTTCAACTATTATGACTTATTGTGAATACATGAACAATTTAGCATCTCAGACAGGATTTTTTTATGCGTTACAACTGAACAAAGTTAAGAGTTATTGTGAATGTGTTAAATAAAATTTGACTGACTTATCTAACTGTTGTGTTTCGTTTAATGCACCTTATAGTCCAGTGAAAAATGTGAAAAAAGTTAAAAAATAAACCATTCAATGACAGTGCGCCTTATAATCCAGTGCGCCCTATAGTGTGGAAAATACGGTAAGTTTTTATTTACAGTATATAGTGCTTTTCACAAACATATGTCATATGTCACAAAGGTGCTTTACAGAGCATTATACAGAGTTACTCAAACATGTGAATGAAACAAAAGACAACTCGGAGGAGAAATGGAACAGAGGTTTAGACTGAGACACTTATGAGAATCTTCAGCATTGTCCATTGTTACAATATGAGGTTTTGTGTAACAACCAAGACTTCACACATTTTCCTCTGTTTATAAAGATGTAAAGTCTGGATCCAGTCTCTACAGTTTAAAGGTGCACTGTGTAACTTTTTTCACCTGCTTGTTTTTATGGAGATATCATTGCTCTGTCTGGAATGTTCCACAGTGTTAACATTAAACAGCTCTACTTTACATCTCGAGGTCTGTCTTTGAGGAGGGAACGACGTAGATTCATGGCTAAAAGCTCACAAGAGTCCGTTTTGTGTATTTTAGGAGCTTTAAATAAACAATTTTGTGTTAAAAAATACACTTAAACTATTTTGCCCAGACTCCTACACAGAAAAGTATCATTAAACTACAGTGAAGTGACAGTAAATCCGGGCAGACGGGAATAGAAGCCGTATTTAAGTGTGCGGTCTGAGGCGGAGGAGGAGGTTATGTCATAGTCTGGAACCAAACACACACTGGACTTTTAGCTTGAGAAAATACATGAATGTTTACACTGCACAACTGTAGAAAAGTCTAGAACACAGACACAGTGATAATTGGAAGATCTGGGTCTGTGTCATATTCTGTCAAGTCACTTAAACACAAACACATCTGACGCTCCAGTCTGAATTTAAAAAACAAATCACATTTGACATTGTTTTCAGAAAGCACACTTATAACACAGTCCTGTAGCACAGAGTGAACACATCCACCCGCACACACCACCCGCGCACACGCCACCCGCGCACACGCCACCCGCCTCACTCATACACCACACCCGCCTCACTCATACACCACCCGCCTCACACATCACACACCACCCGCACACGCCACCCGCCTCACACGCCACCCGCCCCGCGCACACACACCACCCGCCCCCCGCCTCACCACCCCGCCTCACACACCACCCGCGCACACCACCCGCGCACACACCACCCACCTCGTTCGCATATACACCACCCTCGTCACCCGCACATACACACACCCTCGCTCCCGCACATACACCACCCTCCCTCGCCCGCACATACACCACCCTCCTCGCCCGCACATACACCACCCCTCGCCCGCACATACACCACCCTCCTCGCCCGCACATACACCACCCTCCTCGCCCGCACATACACCACCCTCCTCACCCGCAAAACCATCAGTGAGTGATGCCAGTCACTTCGCACACAATCTGTTCAGCCTCTCCTCTACAAGAGCCTCTGTCCCTGCACCATCAAACTCACTAACACTTTACACGTGGCTTTAATGAGCAGTACTAGTGTCAAAGATAAACAAATACAGTTAAAAAAAACAAACTTAAATTTAACACTAACATTTTTCATGAAATGAAGTATAACTAGTGTATCGTTTTTAAGTGAGCAGTGAATCATTGCCTTGAAGAGTTTTATCACATTGTCAGTGCAGTTCTCTGTAGACAAATCAAAAAGTGAATTTGAAAACATTTTGCTGAGAAATCCAAAGTTTTGATTTGTGTTTCAGGGACAGACTCGCCCTCAGAGTGATACACACGCACAGTTCTCAAAATAAACCAACACACTGAAAAAAAGCAGCTACCGGAAAAAAGAGTGTAGAAATGGAACAGAGGTTTAGACTGAGACACTTATGAGAATCTTCAGCATTGTCCATTGTTACAATATGAGGTTTTGTGTAACAACCAAGACTTCACACATTTTCCTCTGTTTATAAAGACGTAAAGTCTGGATCCAGTCTCTACAGTTTAAAGGTGCACTGTGTAACTTTTTTCACCTGCTTGTTTTTATGGAGATATCATTGCTCTGTCTGGAATGTTCCACAGTGTTAACATTAAACAGCTCTACTTTACATCTATTCAATTACAGGTGGTTTTAGAGCTCAAAAATACCTAGAAAAACAGGCATTCTGACTGAGCGGGGATCACCTCTCCACAGATCTGACCTGTAACTTGGTCTGGTTTGGTCTCCATGAAGATAGAAAGATTTAATGCCATACTGCGAAACATTCACGACGAAGCCATAAAATCTCCATGGAGAAAAGCAGAAAGTTACACAATGCACAAAGATGGGATCAGGTTTGAGGACAGAGGTTTGTGTGTGTGCGTGTGTGTTTGTGTGTGTTTGTGTGTGTGTAGACCCTTCTCACCATCTCTGTGTCCTGCAGAACTTTACGTTTGCGCAGCTCCTCCATCCTGTCGCTCACGTCGCTCACACAGGTCCCGTAGTACTGAGAATATTGCTGCGCCAGGGATTGCAGGGAGCCCACAGAGCCATCCTACACACAAGACCACAAGATACACGTCAGGTTTTACTTTACAGACCCATCACACAAGAAAACACAACACGAACTGAATTCTTCATTATACAGCTATCCTAAAGACAACACAAACTGAATTCAGCTGAGCCAGGGACCGACAGGAGCCCACAGAGACATCCTAAAACAACAAAATATATTTTTGATGAATTACAGAGCCATCACACAAGAACACACAACCTAAAGAGAATACAGGATGGACTTGTCATTCCAGAGCCATACCGCAGACAATAATATAAACGAATGCTCCAGTTTGGTTGGTCGAGACGTCACAACAGCAGAACAAGCAGAGAAATCAAACTTTAGTGAAATCCAGTTGAGAGAAAAGCACAAATATCTTCCATGTCCTCAAATGCACAAAGCGCTTCCCTTTGCACCTTTATCACAAATCAAATAGAATAGGCTGAAGTACATCTGTCGCGTCATGTTTGTTTTGTTTGGTGAGGTTTAAATTTAGCTCTGCCCTAAACCAAAATGCTGCAGGTCAGAGGCACTGGTCAGAGCCACTGACGGCCGAGAGCGAGGGTCTGTTCAGATGAGGAACATCTCACTGTGGGGCAAAAATATGACCTACAGTCATTTTGTCTGACTCCTGAGGTCGACCACGTATCTCTCCTCATATCACCCCATCCCCATCCCCTCCTCTCCTCCTCCTCCTCTCCCTTGTCTTCTTTCCCTTCTTCCTCTTTCCCTCTTCAGATAAAGTGTAAACAAAGTGTAGTGATAACCTTTTGTCTTTCCATCACAAACACAGAGTCTTCAGGAGGAAGTGACAGAGACCGAGACCGAGCCTCTGCAGCCGGCTCCTCTCACCTCCACACCTCCACACCTCCTCACCTCCTCACCTCCACACCTCCTCACCTCCACACCTCACCTCCACACCTCCACACCTCCACACTCCTCCTCCACACCTCCACACCTCCTCCTCACCTCCCACACCTCCACACACCTCCTCACCTCCACACCTCCTCACCTCCTCACACACCTCCACACCTCCACACCTCCTCACCTCCTCACCTCCTCACCTCCTCCTCCACACCTCCACACCTCCTCCACACCTCCTCCTCACCTCCACACCTCCTCTCCTCCACACCTCCACACCTCCACACCTCCTCACCTCCACACCTCCTCACCTCCACACCTCCACACCTCCACCTCCACACCTCCACACCTCCACACCTCCACACCTCCCACACCTCCTCCACACCTCCTCACCTCCACACCTCCCACCTCCACACCACCTCCACACCTCCACACCTCCACACCTCACCTCCACACCTCCACACCTCCACACCTCCACACCTCCACACCTCCACACCTCCACACCTCCACACCTCCACACCTCCACACCTCCACACCTCCACACCTCCACACCTCCACACCTCCACACCTCCTCACCTCCACAGACCCAACCACAGGGACTCTGGAGACTTTATTTTAGGTGTCAGATCTAGTCACATTGTAGTTCATGCTCTGAATTGTATATTGACCACATGTAGTACAGATGAAGCTCAGTCACACGGGAAGAGCTCGGAGTAGAGCTGCTGCTCCTCCAGGTGGAGAAGGGCAGCTGAGAGGAGGCCATCTGTTCTGTATGCCTCCTGAACACTTCTGTGGGGAGGGACTGTGTCTCTGGGCTGGTCTGAGAACACCTCGGGGTCTCACCAGAGAAGCTGGAGGAAGTGTCTGGGGTGAGGGGAGTCTGGGCCTCCTGCTCAGACTGCTACCCTCACGACCCGGCCCTGGCTAAGAGGAAGAAAAGGATAGAAGCTATGGATGGACATCCTTCAAACAGTGGTGAATGTGAACAAAAGATTTGTAGTTGGTTTTCTAATGACCAAAGAAAAACTAAAGGGATAAGAATTCAATATATACTATACTATATCCTTTAAGACTAGAGCTGAACAAAACATCACATTTTCATTGACTCATCATCAAAAATTCATATTATTAGTTTTAAATAAGACAAAATAAAATTAAGTCATGACCTATCTATGAGGAAAAACTGTTTTTGTCATATCGCTCAGTCCCACTAATATTAATTCAAATAAATGAATAAATCTGTCTTTAGTGTAATTTAGTGCACAGGTGAGTGACACTATGACAAAAAACACAAAAGAGGTTAGGACTCATTGACCTAAAGGACCCTCTCAGACCTGAACTCTGACCCCAGGAAGTGGAAGATGACGCACTGAACCCATCCAAAGACTGAAGGAGCGGAAAGAAGTGTGAGGAGAGAGAGAGAGAGAGAGAGAGAGAGAGAGAGAGAGAGAGAGAGAGAGAGAGAGAGAGAGAGAGAGAGAGAGAGAGAGAGAGAGAGAGAGAGAGAGAGAGAGAGAGAGAGAGAGAGAGAGAGAGAGAGAGGAGGAGAGGAGGAGAGGAGGAGGGAGGTGGAGTAGTGATGTTTTAGTGACTGTAAATTCACGGGTTGATAAAGAGCTTGTGTTTCCTGTCTTTGTCCAAACTAGGTGATTCTTTAGTCACATGTTTCATTATTTATTTGAGGTGGATTCTGACTCAGACTCTGACTCTTCACCTCTGAGGCACAAATGTGGACGAGGTGACTTCTCAAGAGTCAGCAACTTTCTTGACTGGAAACAGGACACACCAAACTTGACTTGTCAAATTTAAAATCTTAAGTAAATGTATAGATAAGTTGTATTCTTGCAAACTCATACACACCTTAGTAATTCTCCTCTTTGTCTTAATGTCGTTTCCTCCTCAAAAACACACCTGGACTTGTGTTTTGTTTCATTCACATGTTTAACACACAAACCTGCACATTTAGGCTGAGTTCTTCTCTCAAACAAATAACACTCTGTTCCACCTTGTGATGTCATGTGGTAATACAGGAAGTGCTCCACTGTGTTTTTAAACTCCACACACCTTCACGAGAATCATTTGGATGATTTCAGACTTGAAATTTTCAATACTGAATTAAAAGTAAAAGGAGCTGTTAAAAACTACCGCTTCATGACATCACAAGGTGGAGCAGAGCATTTTGAGCTTTGGAGATGTTGACAGACTAATGATAAAGAGTTACTCAAACATGAATGAAACAAAACACAACTCCAGGTCTGATTTTGAGGAGGAAATGACATTATATCATGACTTAAAGCTTACAAGCAGGATGCACTGATACTGATATTGGTATTGAATATCAGTATCAGTGGATCAAGTATCAATTCCATACTATCAGTTCAGTGGATACCCTGGCTGGGCCTTTAGTTGGATGTAATAAGTTGATTTACAGGCTGATTTTGGCCCAGAACGTCTCATAATGTTTGAACTTTTATTCATTTGAAGCTGTTCTGTGGTGATGTGAAGGATGAAGAACAGTTTCATAACACAACTGGATCTCATGTGTAATGAGTTATTTGTATTTTAAGGAAATAATTGCTATTTTTCGTTCCTTCACTGGTATCGGTTAATATTAGGTATCGACAAAAGCTAAAGTATCCAAAAGGAACAAACTGGATGGATGCATCTTTGCTCACAAGAGTCAATTTTGTGTAATATAAGACCTAAATCTCACATTTAGTGTGACATCTCAACCCCTTTATTCATCTCCAAAGACATGGCAGTTGCCATAAGATGAATATGACAGACAAGCACTCATCAAATCCTAGAGCATGAATGCACCCAGCACCCATAAGAGCACAGCACGAGCACCCAGCCAGTCCATACAGCTCCACACTTCATTGTCCCTCCATGTGGCTATGCTAATCCTCCCCTCTCTCTCTCTATGGCCCCTTGTCTGGTCCCAGCTCGGCTCCTGCTCCTCTATCCCTCACACAGACTCTTCATTCAGTCCATCGCGTGTCCAGGGCCACACAAGTCTGCAGAGTTTCACAGAATAACACAGCAAATCCAAGCGTGCTCTGGTATCTCCGGCCTGACCTCCACACACTCACAGGCCCGGCATTGTGAGGCCATATGACAAAGAGCATGTGCTGCGACTGCACTGGGCACGCTCAATATACAGACTGGATGTAAACAGGACAGGAGAGTATAGAGAGTCACACAGAGACAGTATTGAGCTGAGAGGAGCCACTGATTCACAATATGAAAAGTCCATCTGGTAACATGGAGAACGAGCAGTAACACTTGTACACTGTGTTTGGTAAATCACATCTGTGCAGATTGAATGAGTTCTGTACTCAATAAAACACGTTTTTACTGATTTATTGTCAAATGCTGAAAATATAAAATCAGAAACACAAATGCATTTATCCCTCAGTCATTCAGTATTTAACTATAACATAAATAAACATAAGAATACTGCAATACTGGACCGCACATCTCTCCAACGTACCTGATGGCAGATCAGAAAGCTCTGTGAGGCACCTGACAGCCAATCAGAAAGCTCTGTGAGGCACCTGACAGCCAATCAGAAAGCTCTGTGAGGCACCTGACAGCCAATCAGAAAGCTCTATGAGGCACCTGACAGCCAATCAGAAAGCTCTGTGAGGCACCTGACAGCCAATCAGAAAGCTCTATGAGGCACCTGACAGCCAATCAGAAAGCTTGCAGCTCTTACAGTGCATCAAAATGTTTGGCCAAAAAGTTACTACTACTACTTTCTGTCAAAGACACAGGCTGTGATTGGTTGATCCACAGAGACTTTATGTACAACAGATTAAAACCAGTTTGGCACAGAAGTCTGCAGTGACTGTCCTGTCGTGGGGCGGTCCTGTCAGGGGCACCTGGCATGCAGAGGACCCACACTGCACATTTGCACATTTTTTACTGTATAACTCTAAATTATTGCTCATCTATAAAATAAACAATGTGTTTTTGTTTCTTCCTGTATCAGTCTCTACTTTTATAGTGACTCTTGAGCCGTGAGTCGTAACACTGCACATGAGCCAGTTCATTTCCAGCCTGATGATCCCTGCAGAGGCTCGTATGGTCCAGGTCTGTGTCAGGACATTAGCTCTGGATGCATAGACTGTATATACAAATGAACATAGTCAATGTGTTAGCTGGCGTTTTCCAAGTAGGAAATTCTGGTGCGGCTCTTCTGGCTCCTTCAGACTCTGGCTCCCATTGAGTCCAGTCAAGTGGTAACGGAGGGAAACAGGGGCAGATTTTTGACATTCAAATGTCTCTTATTCAGAAACTAGAGGGACTATTGAAATAAGTAAAGTATCAGAATGTAGGAAAGAGTTACACTCCAACAGGGTCAAGTTAAACCTGTGATATTCTTTCAAGTTGTTGACAAAAAATTTAAAAACTCATGTTGGTAACGGAGGGAATGAAATATGCAGCACTTTTTGGTCAATAAATCCAAACAGTGATAACTCTTGGTTCTCACTTCCATATCCTTAACAAACTGGTTTGAATATTTGCGTCATATAGTTTTCTACCATATGGTACAAGATTAGGTTGAAAAACCTCTTACTTTTTGAGTAATGACATTTTTAATTAAGAAAAGTCATGGTAACGGAGGGAAAAGTAACGGAGGGAAAATTGTTCAAGCAAGTAGAAGGTGCAGGATTTTACATCATTTGTCGCTTTTTTCTTCTGAATACTTTAATATTACTTCAAAATGAAAGGAAACTATTTCTATAAAATATGTCAGTCCTTCCAAGCTAATTTTTATCATTTTAAAAATAAAAATTATTTAAAAAAAATAATGTCCCTTCATCAACAGTTCAAAGATGGAATAACACAAGATATGATGAAATACATCCATTTATTGACATGATTTGCAGGTCTTTGAAATTTGGGAAATAATTTTTGTTCCATGTTTCATACATGGTCTGTTTAAAACGTATGGAACTTTAGAACCAAAAATGATACAGAAAAAAGGTCAACAGTTTCATAAACTAGAGTACATATGTATCTGTTCAATACATTTTTATATCAGATGCATTAACTTGAATTTTTGGCCTTGCTGTTTACTTCTGCTTGACTGAGCCCAACTGGAATACTGTCGTCCCTCTCTCTGTACCTGCTGCTCTGAGCCTTGTCATTTTGGTCTTAAAATGTTCAAATTAATCAGCTCTACATGATCCTTTTATTTTTTTTCACAGTTTTGTCCGTCAAAACAAAAAATAAAAAATTCATAATATAGAGCAGACATGTCAAACTCAGGCCCGGGGGCCAAATTTGGCCCGCGATATAATTATATTTGGTCCGCGAGATCAGATCAAATATAGAGCCTGCCCGCCAGCTACAGATAGACTATAGAGACATTATATATTTAAAATTTTGTTATCATTTTATATTCTGCTTGTTCTGGATTCAATGTTTAAGCTAAATTATTACTAAACATTTATTTTAATAACAAAGGTTTAATATTACAGATCTCGGAAGAAGAGAAAACACGCAGATGTTGTTGAAAATTTTAAATAAATATTTAGTTTGGCCCATGACTTAATCCCAGTTTTTAATTTTGGCCTCTGTGAATTTGATTTTGACACCCCTGATATAGAGTCTGGCTCCAAATTCTCTCCTGTAACCGTGAGCACCGTGAGCACCGTGAGCACCGTGAGCACCGTGAGCACCGTGAGCACCGTGAGCACCGTGAGCACCGTGAGCTTCATTTGAGTGGTGCTGAACTCTGTGGGTGACGTCACACTCATTTAATCCACTTCTTTATAAAGTCTGTGGGTTTACTGCTGCACTATAAACCAGCCATTCACACAGGCTGCAGTGTCTTGCCCAAGAACACAACAGCATGAAGTGGCAAGAGCAGGAATCCAACCACCAACCTCCCAGTTCTAGGACAGTCACTCACACTTACTGATTTTAGTGGAATTATTAGTGCCATGCAGGTTTGTCTTCCCTAAAACCAACAGCAAAGGATCATGGTCTATGTAGTTTCCTCTACATCAAACAGAGACTTTCTCCTCCCACTCAAGTGTCAGTCCAACTCTGAGTTCAGCCACAGTCATTATTACTTCAAAGCTGCAGCAGAACTTCAGATCTTAACACCAGGGACCACCACAGAGTGTTTACCTGTCTCGCAACTCTGTGTGTGGCAGACAGGAGCAGACAGGTGCAGACAGGAGCAGACAGGAGCTGATGGGGGAGAGCCAGAGGATCAGAGGGACAGAGGAGCAGAACCAGAGGAGCAGAGAAACAGAGGAGCAGAACCAGAGGAGCAGAGAAACAGAGGAGCAGAACCACAGGAGCAGAGGAGAAGAACCAGAGGAGCAGAACCAGAGGAGCAGAGGAGAAGAACCAGAGGAGCAGAGGAACAGAGGAGCAGAGGAGAAGAACCAGAGGAGCAGAGAAACAGAGGAGCAGAAACAGAGGAGCAGAACCAGAGGAGCAGAGAAACAGAGGAGCAAAACCAGAGGAGCAGAGGAACAGAGGAGCAGAGGAGAAGAACCAGAGGAGCAGAACCAGAGGAGCAGAGGAGAAGAACCAGAGGAGCAGAAACAGAGGAGCAGAGGAACAGAGGGGAAGAACCAGAGGAAAAGAGGAGAAGAACCAGAGGAACAGAGGAGCAGAGCCAGAGGAGCAGAGCCAGAGGAGCAGAACCAGAGGAGCAGAACCAGAGGAGCAGAACCAGAGGAACAGACACGAGCAGAGATGTAGGAGCTTAGAGGAGAAGAGCTGACAGGAGCTGACGGGAGCAGAGTCGGAGGAGCTGACGGGAGCAGAGTCGGAGGAGCTGACGGGAGCAGAGTTGGAGGAGCTGACAGGAGCTGACGGGAGCAGAGTTGGAGGAGCTGACAGGAGCTGACGGGAGCAGAGTTGGAGGAGCTGACGGGAGCAGAGTCGGAGGAGGCAGACATGGTGTCACATTTCTCACTGTTTCAGACAAAGCCTCGGAGCCTCGGGGCTAAAACTCTAAACACTGTTTTTACTGTTTCTCCTTCACCAGCGCAGCTCGTCACTGGTCACACGCTCCTGACACTGCACTCACTTACAAACACACAAACACACACAACACACACACAACACACACACGCAAACACACAACACACACACACAAAGCTTCCACACTGCACACAATACAGTTTACTTACAAATATAATGGTTGCAACATGTTAAATGTTCACATATTTCAATTATAGATCTACTTTCCATCAAATGCTTTTCTTCATGGAGATGTTATTGCTTTGTCTGGAATGTTTCACATTGTGGCATTAAACCTTTCTATCTTCATGGAGACCCAACCAGACCAAGTTACAGGTCAGATCTGTGGAGAGGCGACCCCGCTCACGGTCACAATGTCTGTTTTTCTTGATATTTTGAGCTGTAAAACCACCTGTAATTGAATAAATGTAAAGTAGATCTGTTTAAAGTCACACTGTGGAACATTCCAGGCAGAGCAATGACATACTGTATCTATAAAAAAAACAAAAAGTTACACAGCGCAACTTTAAAGACAAGTTTGTATGACGTAAATGCCAACAAAAATATCACCAAATTTGTAATGGTCAGAATAATAGTCAGAAAACATTGACAATTAACAGAATTCACAAATTAGGATTTAGCTTTTGTGTTATGGTGAAAAATAAAACAGTGAATAGTGATATTAGTACACTATGAATACAGTGAAGAATAGTATTGTATATTTTTTTTGTAATGGGCTAAAATTCGTAAAATGGAAACCAAAATACACTGCAAATCTCAGAAGATTTTGGATGCAGATTTAACAAAAACACTATAATACAAGAGACATTTTTTACAGATTGTCAATTTCTTGTCTCCTTTTATTTCTAACTACCCATTATTCTTTTTATCTGGTGGTTTTCTCATCCTGTAAACTAACATTTGGTTTGAATGAACAATCGCACATGTCTTTACACGAGTGAACGAGCTGCCAAGTGGTGCCTTTGTTTTGCTAATTTCGTATTGTGTAAAGTGTATTCTGTTAGCATGTCAATAGCAACAACTGCACTTTCAGGCTAATCATCAATGTGGATTAGGCTACATGACAGACAAACTTTAATTAAACTGTGATTTGAGATGATAAAACCATCACCATCTCCAAAAACAGCGGTTATCCACAAGTCAAAACGCAGCGTAACGCAAGACTTTTCAACAATTCCACCTTTAACAACATGAATTTTAAAAAGCAAAAACGCGAATTAGGTTTAAAATATATGTGCTTTAAGAATAATGAGTACAATTATGATAGCAAACACAAGAAAATAGACAAAACACGTGCTCTAATGCGTAAAAACTCACCAGGGTTACGCGCAGTCGGTGCCAGTAGCAGCGGTAGCCTCCAGGAGCTTACCAAAGTTCTATGAATGAAGTCTGGAAAGTTTGGCTAAAGTTTCGTACGTGAAGAGAGAAGACAATACATCCAGAGGAGAGGAGGAGAGGAGAGAGAGAGAGAGGAGGAGAGGAGGAGAGGGGGAGGGCCGTGGAGCTCGTAAATGACACCGAGATTGGTGCGCTGTAGCCGGGGGAGGGTTTGGGTGGGGCCGGCGCGCAGACCACAGACCCGGCGCTGCTGCTGCTGCTGAGTCACATGGCAGGGATTTAATAAAACAACAACAGCACGCTCCATGGAGGGTGAAAGAGGAAACAAAAGGAGGAAAAGAGGAGAGGAGACGGAAAGAGAAAGAAAAGAGTGGAAAAGGAGAGAGAAAGAGAGGAGAGAACCTTGTGCCATTTAGACATTTATAGCCTATATTCAATGTCCATATCATAAAGAGTCACTTACTCAGGCACATTTTGCCATCTGAGGCTTTTTAAAAAAATATATATATATATATATTGTAAGTTTTATGACCAGGTCTGAAAATCAAAATATTAAATGAATAAAATTAAACATTTGTAAAATAAATAATTAGTAAGAATAAAAAAATAAGGTGATGATCTTTGTTTTCTGTAAACAATAAATGAATAATCTAAACGAAACAGAATGAACAAGATGCCAAACATATTAAGCAAAAATCATAATATTTAGTGGAGTAAAGTGTAGTGGAAATTGTAAACTGCAAAAATAGGACTAAATATGGACTTAAGCAGGTCTAAACGTTTAAACCACCTTAAAACTGATCAGCATGAAATCAAGTTTTATAGCCTCCTAGGACCTGGCGTCCACAGAAGTGCACTTATATGTCCAACACATTTTGGGTTGTTCAGGCACTTCATAGTTTCTGCAAATTATTATTCATCTGTGACTTTATTGTGTTTCATCAAAACATAAAATGAATGTTTTATACATCATATGTGGAGATATAAATATATAAATAAATAATAAAAATATAATTCTGTGTTTTTGCACTCATCAGGTCTTAATCAGCCCAAATAAACAAAGAGAAATCATTAAAGCCATGCAAGAGTTGAGGTCCTAAGATACTGCCAGAAACACTTAACATTTCAATTCAATGATTTTAAATGGTTCTGAGCTCAGACTTGGCCTGAAATACACAGTTAAAGTGGAGCAGGATCATTCCAGATAGAAACATATAGTGTTTTAAGAGCTCATAGAGTCACAGTGTGTTGGCTCAGAGCGCCCTCTAGTCGTCCAAAGTGTCATTACAGCTAAATTATTGAGACAAAAGAAACCCAGAGACCTCCATGCCCTTAATGCCCCCAAGGTCTGCAGAGTCTGACCAACAGACTGCACCACAAGTCTGTATCCTCATCTCCTTATCTCCTCACTTCCTCGCTCCCTTGCCTCTTGACTCCTTGTTTCCTCGTCGTAAACCCTACCCCCTGGCGATGAAGCAGAGGTAGGTCAAAGTTCAGACCGGCTCTACGTTCTCAGTGATTCACAGATGAGGAATCAAGGAAGCAAGGGTCAAGGAGGCGAGGAGACATAATTGGGCCGCGGCCGTTGTTTACGCTGGTTTAAAGTGATCAGCTCCGGGTCAGTGCGTCTGAGGAGGGGTCACTGGTCCTTTAGGCGCTGTGTCACTCTGAGTTAGGAGCAGAGCTGCTCATTTCCCCCAAAAATACAATTGTTTTTACACTTAAAGATGCACTATGTAACTTTTCTGGAGGAGGATCCAAATGCTTTTCCTCATAGAGATGTTACTGCAGTAATTGGAATGTTTCACAATATGATATTAAACCTTTCTGTCTTCATGAAGACCAAAGGAGACAAAGTTACAGGTCAGATCTGTGAAGCGGCGACCCCGCTCAGTCAATGTCTGTTTTTTGATGTATTTTTGAGCTATTAAACCACCTGTAATTGGATAAATGTAAAGTAGAACTGTTTAATGTCACAATGTGGAACATTCCAGGCAGAGCAATGACATCTCCATAGAAACAAGCAGGTGATGGACCCCAAACAAACCCTAACCAAAAAGTTACACAGTGCAGCTTTGAGGTTGCTGTAAAGTTATTTAAATACGGTGTGTTTTCTCAAAATGCATAAATATATATCAATACAGGACGTGTTTGTTTGTTTTATTACAAACATGTAAGGTTGTACTACTTTTTTATATTGTTTAAAGTGAAGAAATTTAGATGTGAATCCATTTTTAATGTTTGTAGTGATGCAAATGTAACAGAAACACTGAACCGTCTGAGGACAGTTGTCATAGATTTTTTGTCATGTTTCACAGTCTAACAAAATCACTAAATATTCTGATTGAGAGAAGGAAAGAGTTTGTCATGAGAGGACTGCAGGGTCTTAATTATCCAAACCCACAGGCCTGTCAATCACTTCATACGGCTGAGGAAGGGCATCTGACATAAAACAAATCATTTAATGAATACAAATAAATGAGGTGATAGAATCAAATACACAACAAAAACCAGAGAGTTAAAGTTTCAGAGTTGTTTTTAACACAAAGTGTTATTTTAACTCTTTGAAAGTGAAATGTGTGTTGGAGTTGGGGTTATTTGCCAGAGTTGATATGGTTGAAGTGTTATTGTTCATTCAACTTCCCTTAGTGTTAATTTGGCTCCTCCCACCACCACTTCAAACTCCAGTGAGAGTAGACCAGTTTGAACCAGTTTTGTACAGAATTTCATCTTAAATTAACTCAAATAAAGTGTAAAATAAAACACCTCTGTGTGTTGTGTAGCTAAATCGGGATAACTCTACAAAGTGTTACCTGTTTACTCTCAAAACATTAATATAACTCTGGATCTCGGACTTAAACAGAAACTTTGGTCGAGTTTTCCTTAATGAACATTTCCAAAAATGTAAAATTAACTCTAGAACAGATTGGATTCATATAAACCCTGAGAAAATGTTCAAATTGGTTCTGTGAGAGTCAATTTGAAAACTCCATGTTTTGCTGTGTAGAAATGGAGCGTCTCAATGATAAGTGACCAACAGCTCAGTCTCCTGATTTCAATGATCCAATAAAAAAGTAATAAAAGTAATAATACTAATAAAAATCTGAAATCAAAAAATAACTTTGACCTTGACATTCATTATGTTTTTATCCAGGCCAAATAAACAAATCCACTTATATTTGACTCAAAACTGAAAATTTGAGACGTGCACAAAATAAGCAGCAGGTGGCAGCAGAGATCAGCTCTCACTCTGCTCTGTCCTGAACTGGACAAGTACAAAACCAAACAAGAGCTTCAGATTCAACCTAAATATATCAAGAAATACAGAAACATAATTGATATTTAAAACTGCACTGTGTAACTTTCTGGTAGATGGTCCGTCACCTGCTTGTTTCTATGGAGATGTCATTGCTCTGCTGAAATGCTCCACAGTGTGACATTAAACAGCTCTACTTTACATTTATTCAAATACAGGTAGTTTTCACAGCTCAGAAATACAGAGAAAAACAGACATTGTGACTGTGAGCAGGGTCGCCTCTCCACAGATTTGACCTGTAACTTGGTCTGGTTTGGTCTCCATGGAGATAGAAAGGTTTAATGCCATACTGTGGTCTTTCCTGGGTCTTGGATCATGGGTCCAGGGAAGATCCAGGACACGCTGGAGGGACTATGTCTCTGGACTGGCCTGGGAACGCCTTGGGGTCCCCCTGGAGGAGCTGGAGGAAGTGTCTGGGGTGAGGGAAGTCTGGGAGTCACTGCTGAGACTGCTGCCCCCACGACCCGGCCCGGATAAGAGGAAGAAAATGGATGGATGGATCATACTGTGAAACATTCCAGACAAAGCAAGAACATCTCCATGGAGAAGAACATTCGATGGAGCCTCCACCAGTAAAGTTACACAATGCACCTTTAGAGCTGAACTATGTAGAAGCTTCAGCAGCTGCTCGTCTCCATGGAGATGTTAAGATAATCCTTTATTTGTCACTAAGGGGGAAATACAGTGTTGTGTTTTGCCTGGAATATTCCACAGTGTTACAGCTTTAAACCTATTTATCCCCATGGAGACAAGCAGGTGATGCCACTGGGCCAAGTTACAGGTCAGATCTGTGGAGAGGTGACCCCACTTACAGCCTTTCAGAATCAGAATCAGAATTTGTCATTTCAATATAAAAAAATACACAGAAACGAAATACTGCACTCAGGTCCAGGTCAACAGCAGCAGAGAAAATAATAAGAATAAATAGTTAAAATATTGTAGGTCAAATAAAGTCTTAAAAAAAAAAAAAGGAGGTGTTTGAGCAATAAAACATTTGCAATTGAATTAAAGCAAGATCATTTATGAAAGGTCCTGGATTTTAGAAAGTTTCCTCCTCAAAAACAGACCTGGACTTGTGTTTCTTTCATTCACACATGTTTGAATAACTCTGTATTATTAGTCTGTCTACATCTGCAAATCTCTAAATGCTCTGCTCCACCTCGTGATGTCATGAAGTGGTAGTTTTGAACAGTTTTGAACAGTTTTGAACAGCTCTTTTTACCTTTAGTTCAGTAGAGATCAGCAGTTCCAGGACTGAAATGATCCAAATGATTCTAGTGAAGGTGTGTGCAGTTTAAAAACACAGTGGAGCACTTCCTGAGAGAAGAACTCAGCCTAAATGTGCAGGTTTGTGTGTTAAACATGTGAATAAAAAAAAAAAAAAAAAATCACAAGTCCAGGTCTGTGTGTGAAGAGGAAACAACATGAGAAGAGATCAGAGAACAGCGTCATGTGGACAGATCTCTGGAAAAGTTACATAGCGCGGCTTTAATCTATAGAAATAAAGAAATCCTCAGATGTGTGTTGTGAGGCTTAGACATGATGGTGTATATTTCCTGGCTGGTCACATCTGTTGTTGACTTAAAGACGTAGAGGTACAGATCTGAAGAGTGTGTGGAGGTTTCTCGGAGTGGGGCCCGGCTCGGCGTGTGTGTGTGTGACCTGCTTTAGTGCATTAAACATGGGATTAAAAGTGCGGTGCCCCCTCCCTCCATAATCTGAGCCGTGCAAACAGACTGTGAGCAGGAGGTATAGAACGCAGGATTATAAAGACTCCACACGACCGCCGCACAGAGACGACA